GGAGACTAGTCTCCGTATGGACTTGTTGCTTCAGACGATGATCTACAAGTATTGACATTCACCGAGTCAAAGGAGACTTCAAATCTGACTGGATGGCCCGAAATTGATATCCTTTATGTCAATCAGGTCTTGTACCTCTTCTTTGAAGGCCCTGCACTCTTCAATAGAATGGCCTAATTCCCCAGCGTGGTATTCACATCGGACTCCCTCAACAAATGTGATGAACGCTTTATCAAGAGAATTTGCATAAATGGCATCACAAAGTATCTTATACCATAAGGAAGAAATGCCAACTATCTTCTACTACACAGTAGAGAAAAAAAGTTGCTGGATTCCAGAGCATCTCCTACTACACAAAAGAAGCATCGTCTTCTACTACACAGAAGAAAAGTCCAACAACTATACCAAAGGATATTCTACTACATAGAAGAAAGTAAACTTCATATCCTACTTCACAAAAGAGAAGTTTTAGCAACTGAATTCTGGGGAATCTCCTACTTCACAAAAGAGTCTTCGTCTTCTACTATACAGAAGCAAAATTCAAAAAGTGTAACAAAGAATCTTCTACTACACAGAAGAAACTAAACTCTAAATGTAAAACTCGAACTTTGAGGTATGTTTCTTCTACACAAAAACAGATGTCCAATAACTAGGCATCTTATGCTTCTTCATCACAAAAGCATCACCCTATCTTCTACTACACAGAAGAAGCACTCGTTTGAGGAGAAAGAGTCTGAAACAGTTTTCCAATCATGGACTAAACCTTTGAATAGGAGCCAATCAAGTGGTATTTAATATCATAACCAAGTGCCCTATAATGGGAGACATATCTAGCATTTGCATTGAAATCAAGAGAGAAATTTGTGGGAGGAGGGCCCAAAGCACGAAGCTTAATCAACTAAGCTTCCAACACACGAGGAAGTAACAAGATGCAAGGAATTGGTAATGTATCAACATACTTCTCAAGCTTCTTCCGTCTTTGCTGATAAGCTTTTCCCCATGGGTTCACTTGGAGACCAGAAACTAGCTACTAACAAGAAAATCTAGGAACACGAAGTTCTGGATGAGACCCATAAAGTATCTCACGATTTGAAAAATGTCCCATAGGTTGGGGATGAATGACAGCTTCTGATGCAACAACATATATATGATCAATTTCTTTCATCGACACTATCTTCAGAACTTCCCTAACTAACTTAACAGAGTCTCCAACTAGTCATTTTCCCCTTAAGGATTTCTGGCTACGTGCTAAGATCTGCATGTCCTTAATAAATAGACCCATCTGATTTTTCATCTCATCATCTCATACAATTCCCCACGAAGTCGTTCCATGGATTTTTCGGATAACGGAGCGGTGAGAAGTCAAGATTCACAATTCTGAAAAGAATATCGGACCTGAATAGGAATTCCCCAATCTGAGTACCTATTATGGATGCATGAAGATGCATGAGGTGAACGAATGGATGCAATGTCATGTTCTATCATTTTCAAGGAACCCGCATGCTTTTAATTTTGATTTTCATCCAATAAAAGATGGACAAACACAACATAATATTCACTAGCACGGTTCCTTGGAAATAGAAAGAACATGTGTGTTAACTTTTTTCATGCATACAACTTTTCACATTCTTTTTTGTCAAAATAAATATGCTATGATGCAAGTGTAATACCATAGGTTTAAAAGTTCCGCATAGCAACTATATAATCCTCTAGTTAACTATTGTATCAATCTGCTGAATAATCTGAATATCATAGGATAAAAGGTTTGGCACAAATTTCAGAACACAATGGAACCAAGTACCATAAATAACCGTTGTATAATCTTTGGACAAGTTGAATATATCAGGATCAAAGGTCTAGAACATAACCAAAGAACCAGGTCACCAACAGAATAATACAGTCACCATTAGAACATAGTCACCATTTGTACCTGTAAAGATTATTCCCTCCCCACTCACGGCTAAAAACTAGGTCAGGGTAAGGCAAAGGTAACTCAAAAATCACGGGACGTCTGGAAGCACCCCATTTGAACCTCATCTGAGCGTAGACGATATGACCACGCTGGTAGGGCCTTCATCCAATAGCTATCATGTTCTACTTTATTCCTAGGTTTCCTAGATAGTGCACTCCAGCATGGGTACTGAGCCTTTTACCTCATAGTACCACCCACCCAACATGGAAAACCAGAATCTAGCACAACAGATAACCAATGTTGAAAGCGATAAAATGCAATGCAAACATATGCTCAAATAATCATGTATAAATGAATAAACTAAAAGCATAAAAATAAACACCCAAAGAAAAGAAAACAAGAGCGAGGAGAGATTTCGGGATAGACCAACATTTGGTCAATCTATCCCCAGTGAAGTTTCCAGCTGAAACAATCGGCTGAACAAATCATCGAGATGAAATCAATGAAGTCGCCATCGAACGTTTTGTATCCCATAGGGAGGGAAAGGTAAACATCGAGTAAACCTGAGAAGGGTGAAATCAAGGTCAAACGACCAAGAAATACGGGTAAGGGAGTCTGTTACGCGAGGGAAGGTTTTAGCACCCCACATGCCCGTAGTACTCTACGGTATCCACTTATGTTGTTCTAATCTAATGGGTGTGTAAGAATCTATATCTAAGTTGTACAGGGAATGCATGCAAAAGAAAAGAGAAAATAATGTAGGAAAAATAAAGTTGTTCTCGTTCAGGCCATAACCCAATGCCTACGTATCCCTTTTAAGGAATCAGAGTAGCCGTAGTTCGGCTTAAAAGTTTTTGTTGGTTTGTATTTTTTAATGAACACCATTAATTTCTACTTCTGCCGCAACTCTACCTTTTGGAGACACACGTGTCAGCACAGAAGTGAATTAACATATTCTTTTGAAAAGGTTTGAAAGAAAATCCCGAAGGCGCAAAAGAATTTATATTGGTTGATATATTTTACCTTAAAGAAGGATTTGAAAATTGTTAGGTGTTTTATGACTTGCCAAGAAAAAGAGTTTTGGTCTTATTGCAAGGATGCAAAGGAAAGAAAAAACATATGAGGGATACTAGCCTAGTTTTATCCTTAATGTTATCATACAATGGTTGACCTTAAGGTTGAGTTTTAAAAGGGAAATTATACCCTATGTTAGCATGCATGGATACCTATCCTAATGTCTAGCTCGAAAACTACTCTAATCGAGCGATCCTAAGGGAAGCATGGTATAGCAAACAAATAGACAAACAATTGCTTTGGCAAAAGCACACAATCATGAGTAGCACATACTGACTCAAAGGGATGGGGGAAACAAGGAAAATGATTTAGCTAAGCGGAGCATATCACACAAAGAAAACAAGCGGGAGACATATGAAATAAAAAAGAAAACCATTACTTTAGCTAAGGGGAGCGGATCACTCGAAGCAAAAAAGCAGGTAGAGAAGTATCATCAATGGCCATTGCAAACTCCTGACAAAGTGTGGGGGTTGATTGCAAACCCTTCTCCACATGACCGACTCGATACACAAGATCTGTACGACTCTAAAGCATCTACGTACAACGTGAGCTAAGGATGACACGGACTAGAATGTGCGGGGATCGATTACAGACCGTCCCCGCTTGCCTCCTTTTGAGGATTTATCATCTATAATATAATGCGGGCACAAATGTAAACACACATGTAGAATACCTACTTCAAAGGTAGATTTTAAATTAACACAAATAGCATACAGAAAGTAGTGCCTGCTACAGGACTTTAAACATCGACTTCGAGCGCACGCTCTTTATTTCCCGCTTCCTACTTCTCATGATCTCTAGAAAGAGATAAATTCCCCTACGATACATGATATCTAGAAAGCATTAACATACTGAAATGAGATAAACAAGAGAAAATACCAAACAAATATCAATTTGTAGCAAAGCGTATCAAAACATAGAAATCCAACGATCTTTGTGAAAGCTTCACCAATCAAAGAAAATAATCAGAAATGAAATACTCGAGATAAGTGTCGAAGCATCATCGATGTGAAAATAAATCACAATCGAAATCTCAAGCATATTCGTATATCACACAATAAACCTGCATAAGACTCAGATCTTAACAAGCAAAGGTGAATTACAAATCTCAAGTAATTAGATAATCATGAATTAATTCCTAAAATCAAATAAAAGAACTAACAAATTTTATTGATTTTATCATTTTTATTATGTGAAGAAAATTTCAACAAATTGAAATTACTAACAAGATAAATTAAAAAAGGAACTACAAATAGAACAAAGGCCCAGGGGGTGCAAGCTGAAATCCAGGAGTGCTGGAGAAATCTGATGGTGTAAGTCAGGGCGCTTGGCCCAATCTGCATGAGTCTGAGAAGAGGTTTTTATGCATAAGCTTTGTTATACCAAAAAAATGCCATCAATAGGCCCAAGTAATAGTATTTTGGCCCAATCCACATCTCACCAACAATATCCAATTCAGATTTTTATTTACATTGAATAAAAAATTAAACCAAATTGTAAAAGACTGGAACGGTACATATTGCACTTTGTAGTGTTAGGGTTGATATGAGTGACAATTCCTCTTCTTCAAGAAATCGATCTTCCCTCTTCACTTCACCTACAGCGGTGCAACACCTCTGTCTCCGATCAAAATCCGAACATCACCTCCCTCTCCATCTGTCGATTCCTTTCTGAAACCACCATTGTGACAACATCAGTTACTCGGTGAAGCGTAGCTCTCCTCACCCTCATTTGATTACATATTTGAAACATCTCTTCTTCACCAAAACAAATGAACAATCTCTAATTCATTCCGGATCAAACACAAACGGTGAAATTTTGATCACCATTTATAAATTTACATCGATTAACAGAGAAAAAGATGAAAATAAGCACAGAGATTTGAAGTTTCGATCAAACATACCCATCAGAGCAACACCGGTGGTTCTTAAATTTTAAGGACGATGACACGAAGATTATAGATTGCTCTTAAATGATCCAATATGTTTTCCTTTCCACTTTTCTCTTTTCTGACTCACTTCTCCTTCTGCTTTTGCATTATCATTGTGATGTTGTTGATGATGAAGATGAAGCAGGTTGCGTTTACAGAAGATTTTGCAATGATGATAATGTTATTGTTTGTTGTAGATGGCGATTGAAGAATCAATGAAGCGATTCTGGGAGACTGATGATTGGTGAATGGCGATGATGAAGATTGAAGTAGAACAGGATTGAGGCAGAGAGTAGAGAGAAATTTAGTTGCAGAAGCAGAGAGATAATGATGATGATGAAGAATGTAGTGTTGTAGAGGAGATTTTGAGGCTCTAAGAATTTTGTGAATGGTAATATGCATTGAATATTGAAGCATCAATTTTTAGAGAGAGAAGATTCAAATTTTTGTGGTGATTTTCTGAGATGAGTGAAGACTTGTGGAAGGTTGAAGAAGAAAGTAGAGAGAAGATGAGAGAGTTTTGTTCTGCTTTTTCGATGGATGGAGGTGAATATGGAGAATGAAGAAGGATCGATGGAAGAAGAAGGTGTGATATTTCTGCAGAATGAAGAATCCAAAAAAAATCTGGTGAGTTTTCTGTTTTATGCTGTTATTTCTGTTAGGAAAAGTTAGTTACATGAAAATGAATCTGAGCGGTTAGATTTTCCTTTTCCGTTAGAGATTTGGATGGATGGAATTTAATATGAAATTTTGTTGTGATTCAGTTAGAGATTAGTTTGGATTCTGTTATGGCAGTTAGTTGTTGTGAATGTCAGTCATAGGGTTTGAAATTATGTTGCAAGTTAGAAGCTAGAACTCGGTTAGGGGTTGTTAGGGAGGTTGTGGATAATTGGTTGTTAGGATGGGATGGCTTTAGATTTGAATGAAACTGAGAGTTAGTTTCTGATTGTAATTTTTGTTAGCTAATTGTTAGTGTGAAAAATAGTTAGAATAGTTAATACTATTAGGACCTGACTGTTAGGAACATCAATTGAAATGGATAACTGTTAGCTTAAAGCTGATAGAAATTGTTATGTGAGGGATTGGGTTTGTGAAGTGGATATTTAAACTGAATTGAATCTATGATTGACTGAATCGATTTTGCTATGCATTGGCCTTTATAATTTTCTGAGTGAGTGGACTGTTTTTTTTTTGTAATCCTGAATCGATTTTATGTGGTGCAGGGTTGTTAACTGATGTAATGATCGGTATTATGTCTGTTGCATTTTTCTCTTGTTTCATCTGGTTTGCATGCAAGGCTGGCTCGAATACGGCACATATTCGGATATGGTGCAAGGCAGGTTGGTCTTGACGGTATGTTTGTAACTACTGGTGTAGCAGCAGGGCATAATTATTGATAGGCTGAAGACATGTCAACATTGCTTAATACCAAACTGGGTCATAGTTCAAGAAGATGATTGTTATAGCGTGGCTATTTGGTTTGTACAGGTTTAGAAGACTAGGCTTATGACTAAATTTCCATGTAAAATCTTGTGAATGACTTGTAATGTATTTTGGAACTTGAATGTTCTTTGAAAGGATTTGGATGAACTTGACTTTTGGTTATAAATGGTGAATACGGATTTTGTGCGATGAACATAATTATATGTTTGAACATGGCATGGTAAAGTTTTGATGAATTGAACTTTGAATAATAATGATGAACACAACGCCTTGATAACAACTTGATCTTGGCATTATGATCTTACGTGAATTTGACCTTTGTCTTGAATAATAAAGCCTTTTAGGACAAGAATCATTGCTTGAATAATTATTTTTTTATGAATGATCATGATGAATTTTAATGAAATTTTGAATTATATTGAAAGAGAATGATACTTGGATAATGCTTGCCCATAAATCACTTTTTATTTCCAATGCTCAAAATCCGATTTTCTTAATACTTGCATTTGAAGCAACCATTGTTTAAACCAACCTTAAGTGATGAATGATGGAAAATGATCTCATGTCCTTCTTATCTTGAATAAGAACCAAAATATACCATGTAGCCTAAGGAACACATGTATTTCATGGTTGCTGGAATATAAACTCCTCATTTGAGACCTTGATGTGCACCTTGTGTTAACCAACCCTTGACCAACTGGCATGTACAACATAGGAATATCAAGCTTGAATCACAAGCCTCAAAACAAACTTTATGTCCTGCTTAAAGCCTCTTGAGTTTTTTTGGAAGGAAAATCCTCTGGTCTTAACTTGTAACGTAAGTAATTAAGAGGAGTATTCAAATGAACTTCAAGCTGGATGAACTGAAGGTAAACTGATCAGGATAGCCACAAAATTAATTCTAATTCAATAAACATCAACTGAAGCATAATAGATGCAAAACTTTTATTTTTTATCAATCATAGGAAATCAACCTTAATCATTGGCATTGACAAAATTGGATGGAGAATAGCTTTTAAAGAAGAGGTTACTGATAACCATGCTTCCCAAAACCCTAATTCACACCTCACTTGCTCTAAGAACCAAAATAATCATACTCTATTTGATACATAAATTTTAATCCACTGTGAAACCCTACCTTGTATGCCCACCAAACTTCTGAACCTCTGGCGCTTTATTCAATGCAAATGCATGCTATGTTAGTGCAGATGACCTAACGAAAAGATGTGAATGAAAAAGCCTAAGCCAGATAGAGGGACAATTAGGAGGGCAAATTTTGGGGTGAAACAAATATTACTATTAAAAGAAGTTATTCTCCCACTGACGTACGCTATCTACTGCAAGCAACATTGAAATTCTGGTACAACAGACTTGTTGCAACTGGATTTTAAATCAGAGTCGCCACTATTAGTTTTTATCCTAAGGAAGGGCATCTAATAGGAAACCCTGAATTGTAAAATAGAGATTCTATGATTCGGACTCCTTTAGACGAAAGGAAGGTGTTAGGCACCTTTCATCTACCTTATTCTTAAGGATGCTAGGTTTAGGTTTAGGTTTCAGGTAAAACAGGATTTTAATTTTTAATAGGGGAACTCACCACAATTTTAATCGTATGCCTACGTATCCTCTTATGAGGAATTTGAGTTTCAATTCGTAGTTCGTATGGGTTTGTATTTTTTAGGGGTTGCAAAAGTATTTTGAATTGCCTCGCATTTGGACCGGGTGTAGAGATAGCGAAATTTTAGACTAAATGCGCGATTAGTCAAATTATATTTGGAACCCTTTAGCAAAAATTGTTGTTTAGATTAGTTTATTGCGAAAAAGAATTTGATGTTTGTTGATATTTTTTAATCGTATAAATTGCAAAAAATATTAATTAATGCATGATTAAAAATGTTTTAATGCAATGTAATATAAAAATATACATGAGTTTTTAAATAAAACTATTTAAATGATAATATAAATAATATATGAAAATAAATAAACATATGTGAAAAATAAGAATTTAAGAAAATAAAATATAATAATTAAATATAATAATTATAGAAATAAAAATAATAATAATAATAAAAGAATAAAAAAATAGAATAATTATAATAATAATTAATTTGCAAGGGGTGTGTTTTTAGTTGGTAAGCAAAAAGGGTAGGGTGTAAAAAGTCAGGGCCTGAATTCAAATATTGAATTTAGGCCCAGTAAGCCTGGGGGTTCGTTTTTGAACTAGTAAGTAAAACAGGGGGTGTTCTTAGAAGGCTGGGCCCAAGTTCAGATATTGAACTAGGCCCAACGGTTGAGGGGTGTAGTTTCGTCTTGCGTTTAGTAAAACAAATAAAGGAGTGTGTGAAAAGAAATTGGGCTTGGCCCATTATGCAATTCTTGGAGAACTGGCTAATCGGACGCACAAGGGAGTACGGGGCTTACGGTGGAATTGGCCTTACAGGCGTCCACTGGTGATCAACCGTACATGATGAAGGGTACACGTTAATTATCGTGTGCGCGCGTATATCGTATAATTACGGAACATAAAATAGTTATGCATTTTTTTACATTGTTTTCATTCTTGATTTTAATTTACAGCGACCCACCCCCTTTCGTTCTACCCCTTTCAAAACCCTAACATCCAAACCCCCAGAACATATTCATCGCGGCGGAGGCACACCCAACCTTACCGTAAATCAAACCCCCCACAACCTAAAATACAAGAATAAAAAAAAAGGCTAAGTGGATTTAACCGTTTGTGACTTCAAATTTTGAGTTCATATCTGATTCAGCGCTAACCCTTCTTTTTCTTCTTCTTGTTTGCAGTTTCTGGTGACGCTATGAAGACAGATTAATGGCGGCGGACGTTGGAGCGATGACAACGGCAATTAGGGTATCAAACCCTAATCGTCTCCCTTTTGTCTTCTTCAAAAAATTGGTAAAATTTCCCTTCTGTAGTCAAGCACCTCCTCTCTGTTTTTCGTATTCAAGACTTTTTGTTCTTCAGTTTCTTCTGTTCTTCGATCCCTCACGATTTTGTCCTCCCTTTTTTTTGTTCTTCTATTTATAGGGTTAGATTTAAGGATTATAGTTGTTACGAAATTGTCACCTTAGATTTAGGGAATTAGAGTAAATTAGGGATTAAAAATATTGATACTTTACTGTAATTGATTCTAACAGTAATATTTGGATTTGGTTTTATGTAATATTGATTTTGAGATTTATTCTGTAATATTTGATTTAATTATTCCTGAGATTGGATTTGTAATGGAGATTCTGTCTTATCTTAGATGAAGATTTGAATTGCAATAAAATTGGATTTAGTTCGTTTTAGATCTAAATAGTGACTGTTAGTATCATGAAATGCACGTAATCACTGCTTGATCGATACAGTACCCGTTCGCACTCTTTTGGGCCTTGGTTATTTTTGTTCAGCCCAGTATTTTGTTTTATCCAGCATACGTTTCTTCAATACAAATTGGGCCAGAGGTTTTTTTTCTCTTTATAGGAACAGTAATAAAATGCTGACAAATGGGCTAGAAACTTAGTGGGCCTGTAGTTTGTAACAAATTCAAAACAAAACTTTTAATAAACAAATCAATTTTATAAATATTTAATAAAATAGTTTACCCCCTTTTAGAAATAAATTTCTTTTAACAAGTTGTAAAGAATATTTTCTAAGAAAAATAATAATAAAGTTTTATAATAATTTTCTAAAATAAATCAACAACAAAAATGACAAATTAATCGATTTTAAAAACCTCAATGGACCTGTAAATTGATAAGCATACCCCATCATTACTTTTCCTAACTAAAATGAAAATGTGCCAATATGAATTTTAATGGGCTTCTCACCCTTTCTTTTTACTAACAACAACAAAACTTAAATGGGCTTTATTATAATTAAACTTAATAATATTTCTACAATAACCTTCCATATTCGAATCTCATGGGCCATTGACCAACATGCTTCGTAAATG